ATCTCAATCGCATACAAACTCATTTACAGGACTTGGAGATGTCAGACCGGAAGGCACGTTGCTGTAGAACAATGCTTTCACACCCCTTGCCATGGTATGAGTTTGACGGCACAGTACGATTGTACGGTCTTGAGTGGGCCTTAGTGCAAAGCCTCGAGCTGAATTTCTAAGCCAAGCTTGCTTCACAAGTGGCGCTCCCGTCACTGGTCTGAATCTAGGACCCACCGGGCCAGCAACTCTTCCTTATCGGACCCTCATATGAAACTACCGCCTGCTTGAGGGCTTCCTGACATGGGGTAAATACGTGGGGGGTACTACCCAGCGGTTTGGGAATTAGGGCTCCTTTTCATGGCCTTAAACGCTGAAGCAAGAGTGGTTCCTCCTTAAGTGTTGTACGTGCAGAACATGCTGCATCCGCCGTGAAGCTTGCTAGGAACCTGACACTCGGTTGACCTGCAAGGCGTGCAGAGCCTGTTGCTCTAATACTAGGAGTTTCCCCATGTTAAATACACATTGCTCTTAAAGTACTCCTGGCTCACTAATGTGGCACCGAAGGAATTCTGCAAGACAAGGAGGTTTAATGAATCAACAGCCTGCGTGAATCAAGTACGGATAGCATCCTCAAGTCAGGACTGTTTTGCACGATTCATGGCCAGGAGAACATCAAGCCGTGCGTGGTGAAGCGCAGTCCTTCTGATGAGCTGCGATCCCAGCTTCTTGCAACTTTTCTCAGTAAGCAAGCCCTTTTTCTGAAAGTCCACTGAATGTGATCACGAACGTCGCGCGCGTTCGCGTTTGTTGAATAATCATTGTGCACAACTCCATTTTGGCAGGTTCCTCTCGCGCAGCACGGGCGGGATGAGCCCGATGTCCGGAGGTGGAGCCGGTCAGATGTCATTAGCCGACAGTTTTTTCTGACGTGCATTGCAACCCCCTGAAGAAAAATCAAAGTCAGAGGGCGATGCAAAAGCGTAATCACATGTGGCTGACGGAAGGCATTGAGCTGGAGATCTATGGACAGATTTGTCGGGTTGACAGCCTTTTGATGACTTGGAGTGGAGAGGTAAAGCAAATTCGTAAAGAGGCCTAGGGATCCACGGAAACCATGGATGGTTGTAGCTCATTGCGCCCATGCAGCACGGTACAATTTGCACGTTAACGATTCATCTAGTTGTGGCGGCATGCCTGCAGAGGAGCATCTCGTCCCACGTGCTAGAGCATTGCTGTACTCATATACAACAAACTCAGGGCTCTCTTGGACCTTTCGAACAGGTGGTCTGAACTTTAGCCGCAGCAGCAAGCTGCTCCGCGGCGGCTTGACAGGTGCTGGCATGTCCAAACCGGGAGTGTTTCGTCTTACTTCTGCGCATTGCCTGCATCGGAGGGCCCTCTGTTGAACAGCACACTTACCAGCTAGAGTCAGAGTTTACCATAGTTTACCTTGTGGAAAGCTCACATCCCAAAGAGGGTGGATTTTCGGCTAGGGATACCGAGGTGAGAAGATGTTGGAATTGATGGTTTGACTTGATGTAATTACAGGTGCCCAAATCTATCAGCGACCAATCTTTTTTGTGCTCGCAGCTCTTGCACTGGACATTTACATAGCATAGATCAGCTCTTGTGCAAACCAAACAAATCCATCTGGGAAACTTGTCCAGCGAGTTTTAAGCGACACCTATCTGCGCGTTCTTCTAGTATGTGCTTACTATGTTTCCGCAGTGCTTCTTCATACCACTTCTTTTGTTCTTGCTTCCACCGCCTCCCCTAGGGTTGCCAGTGGAAGGCGAGGCTTTCGCACGATGACTCGGTGATTGAAGTCGATTTTTTCTTAGCAACGTGGCTTGTACGATTACTGGTGGACGAGGTGGCCAGCAGCCGCTTGGCACCCGCGTCTCGTTTGGCTCTGCTACACCGAGGCCCGCGCTGAATGTTGGGGCATAGCGGGTCACAGCAGAATGGCCAGATTATACCAAGGGTATCCAGGCGTCCTATAAGCCTGCTAGAGGATTGCCAGGGATTGTTTTTCTGGGATGTTGGATTCTGGGCCTGAAAGGGGTTCTAGGAAGAGCCGTGCGCATTGAAAGACAGATCTTGTAGCCGTCACGCATGTAGGGCGTACGCAGGAGGTGTTCTTGTCCGGATCAAGCAATTGAGAGATGTCAGGCAGGAGGTTTCCTTTAGTGTAGAGGTTGGGGTCAAAAATCAGGTATTTCAGGACGTTGAGGGGTCTGTACTGGAGGTTATGTGCATGAAGCAGGATGCGGAAAGCGTTGCGTGGCCTGAGTGTGCTTTGCGATCGCGAGCTGCTCAAAATGACTGTTGTTGGAGCTGGCTTGGCCGCAAAGGGTGGACGCTGGAGAGGAAGATATCTGAACATCCGGCTACTGGTCCCCAAGAGCTTGTATACGATAGTTTCTGAGTTCAAAACAGCGGCCGGGCAGTGGAAGCCTGTTGAGCAAGCTTGAAACCCTGAATTCTACATGCGTGACTGGAGGCCATGCTGCATCTGACTGATGGCACCAGAATGGGCGAGAAAGGGCCTTGATAGGAGAGATAAGCTCAGTTTGGAGGGGTTTGATTGTTCCCGGCATGAGGCCTCTGCAAGATGAACCCAATCACGCGGGAAATTCACAAATGGGTAGAGTCGATGGACATCGGTCATTGGCTAGGTTAAGGAGTACCCAGGGACGGGATGGCAGGGGTACAAACTGCTATGATTGCTTAGAATGCCAATGACAGTCTTCATCCTTCTGTTGAATAGCAACCTGGATCGCTTAGGAGTAGACTGGGCAAAGTTGTAGTTAGCGTGTGGAGCGTTTAGTTGATTAGTGGACTGCGAACTTACCATGGTTCGATGTGCCAAATTCACTGTAAAGGACCAGGAGACTGCAAGATACTTCCAAATTGTGCATAATTGCAGAGTCAACGCAGTTTCCCGGATCAGCCTCAAATGTGGATGCACGGGTGACAGACAGCCCAGCCAGGGTCAGACGGCGCTTCCAGCCTGTGCTTTGTGAAGCATGATTTGTTTGTACCATGCGTAGCTGGCCTGACCTCAATCAGCATGAGAGATGGGACGTGAGCATTCAATCCAATCTGGAATCTGGAAGCTTCCACGACCCCGGCAGGGTGTCGGGGACCCTGGAGCACTGGCCAGCTGCAGTGCTCTGCTCAAGGGGGAAAAAGGTGCATGTTGTGGCCTCGGAGCTGAGGGTCAAGAACAGAGATGGCGAATCTTCCGTCATAAGTGATTGTTGTTGTTGTCGTTGATCATTAGAAGGAAAACCATGCCGGTCTGGACACTGTTTCTAATGCAGCGCTTTTCGCTACTACTGGCGTCTCAAATAGAGACAGACTGTATCCTCCTTAGCCCTTTGAGGTATAGTACTGTAGCAGAAGAATCTACTCTTGCTTGGTTCAATTGCCACAATCAATGCTTAGTTGAGGCAGACTCGTCAGATTTGGCAAGCTTCCATCCAAAGAGTTCTTCACTTAGCATCTAGGCAGGCGCCACGCACAAACCTACTGAATCTGGAATTAGATTCAAGAAAGATGGCATGGCCGCTCCTTTGATGCGTGTTTGTAACATCTAGACTATGTCTGTTCTATAGAAAGCATTTTTACGGTCTTTGGAGGGTTCTGCATCACGTGTCAGAGGTGCTAGCTGCTGAAGACAAAATCATGTCACCAACTGCATGCTTTATGAGATTTTATGAGTGTCATTGTTGATGATTACAGTAGTGTGTCGTGACTCTCATTACTGCGAGATGTTGATGCTTTTGGTGACATAAACTCACATTGCAAAGCTTTGCGTGCGGATGCCTTGCCATGGTTGTGCTGGGCCACTTTCTGCATGGACTTGCTCTCAGGTTCAGTGTGCTTGATCCCGTGGCCAGATCTTGCCAGCATTGGCGCTTCAGTGCCCACACATGCAAACAGCCAAGGAGTTGCTAGTGGTGATCCACTGCCACAAGTTCATGCCTCAGCGTTACTGCGATGCCGGGCATTTGACTGGCCTGGCCTGCGTTGACTGTACGAGGCCATTGTGATATGGACAAGGCTAACCCCCTTCAGAGCGCAAAGTGCAGAGGTGACCAACTTAGCAAGAAATGCAAGAGCCAGCAAATATGCACTTATGCACGCTCAGCACCTCGAGGTTTATCACGTCAAGTGGTATGTTTGGGAGCCGGGCGCGGACGAGCTCAACTCAACAAACATCCCACTTATCGAGGGGGAGGCAGGTTGGGCAGGCTAAGGCAAACATGGCAATCTGGCTGAGCTATGGCTTATCCAGAGGCAGTTGCGGATGAAGAGCAAGATTTTACAGTGAAGGCGCGGAAGGTTAGACTTCTGACGCACTTCCATGTACCCGACTCATTGGTCTTGTACAAGAGGTGGATGTTCGATCGGACATCTTCCAGCCAGGCTTCCTGACTTGCAATTCCAGGTTTCCTGGCGCATCTGCTACAATGCTCGTGCCACGGTACTGCTCTGGACAAGATCTGATTTTTGACCTGCTGCACTGTTGCGTGAAGTCACAGATGTGGTCTGTCTGGTGCGGCGTTGGCTGTTGGGCTATATCGCCAGTCACGTTCTGAGGGGTACGCTACGCCTATCGCTTCGAATGTGGCCAATCGCGCTCAGCTGAGGCTTGACTGCTATTCTAGTGCAGCTGTTACCGAACTTAAGACAGTGTCCCTGATATCCGATGTGTTTGCTTTTGTATGCAGGGTGGCTTCTCGCTGCCGCCGCCTCCTTCAGTTCAGATCTCAAGCCTGACGTATGCAATTTTCAGTTGTGCCAACAGGCTGGTTGAAGGGCATGGCATTGGGATAAGCTTCTTCAGAGGCTACAGATTTGCAAGAGCAAAGTGGTCGTTACATGACCTTGATAGTCGCATCCTTGTACCTGCCTGTGGATTCATTTGGCATAGCATGTGGCTCCTGCTGTGTAATTTTGTACAACTTATCAGCACCAGAAACGCGGAAGCATGACGTCCTATGATGACTCATGTCTGCACCTTTGCCAGGGGCTTTGGAAACTTCCGTGCGTATTCTGCGGCCATCGAACGAGGGGATCTGGATTTTTGGCTTCACCTGGGCGACTACATCTACGAGTCAGAAACTGAGCTTGCCGTTGACCATCCTAACATAGAAGCCTTCGGTGAACCGTGCACCGCGAGGTATGGTGAAGATCATTATCCGGATCCTTCAGAAACTGTAGTTCCAGGCGCTTGCGACGGAAGTGGCTGAAAATTGGTGCGCATTCGATTCCAGGAATCCAGCCAAGCAAAGATGTGGTGACATTGATACTTGGCATATATTGGCAACATTCAGCGAGCATGACCAGCTTCTGCATGTATAGAAGGCAAGAATACCGGCAACGGCATGCTCATTATCGCTTGGTGCTGAGTACCTTCATTCCGTGAACTTTAGTATACTTATACTTAGTATGATGATCGATGGATGGCTGGCCTTGTCATGCCGAGGCCTGGATCCGCATTTGCAAAAGTTGGCAGCAAGCGCACCGATGATCGCTGTTTGGGATGACCACGAAGGCCGGGCGCAGCAGCACGTTGCAATTGCAGCTGCTAATCTTGCAAAGATGCTGAAAGCGCCATTGTGTGAACCTTGGCCCGCTCCAGTGGCGAATGACGACTTCAAGGAGGGTGCTGAAAATCACCATCCCCAACAAGGGCCCTTCCAGGCCCTTGACGAGTTGCGGGCAGTGTGTCGATTCAGGTCTTGTTTCTTGAAGAGCCTTGTGTGAGGCCAGGAAGGTCGCAGCCATCCGTGCCTATCACGAGTGGTTGCCAACTCGTGTTAGCTTGGACCTGGCAGATCCCTCTGCTGTGCAGAGCTGAGAGAATTTCTGAATGTAACACACTGAGGGCTCGCATTCTCCCTCGACAGGGAAGGTAGAGGGGTTGCTTCTGACTTCTCCCGCGGGTGGCTTTGACATCCTTCAACCCGCCGCACTTGCATACATGTGCTCTCTGCGAAGTGAAGTGTCATCGCTTTTGGACACTTGATTTCATGCTCATTGGCCCTCCGCTTCTGACGGCACGGCTCCTGCGCAGAGGGTCCTCCGCAAATTGGCTTGAAATCACTCTCCTGCCTTGCAGTCCCAACCGCATTTTGCTCACGAAAAACGGTCATCGAGTCATCTCCCGCAACAAATCCAGTTGTCCGCCACCCAAGCTTTTGAAACCTTCAGCCCGCAGCCCTGGAACCATGAATTCCGAGCCAACCTCCCAAACCCCCAAGCCCGGGACATCCCCTGAGCCGAAAACAGGGGTCCATTGCGAAGCCCCTGAACTATTGCAAGCCCCGGAAAACATACCAGCCCAGGCCAGTCTTCAAGGAGCATATTCATGCAACAACATGATTCCGGCTGTTCGCAATAATTCTCCACTATCAGAACCTTACACCCAAGTCGCACAAACCCTAAAACCTATGTAACCCTACAAAGCGTATGCCCCAAGTCCACCTTCATCCTGTTTGCCAGCACTCCCTACGGTGTTATTGTGTTATAAACACATCCACAGTAAGAACATCCATAGGAAGATATTCACAACTGCAAGTACAATAAGTACACTGACATTTACAGCATGGCAGGGTCCCAGCGAATACACACCACAATCCATAGTAGCCATAGTAACGTCTACCACCACCGCATCCACAACAAGAATGCATGCCGGCACCCATAATAACGTCCAGACCGACCTACTCTGTTGCTGTGGGTAGGCAACCGGCGCGGGCAAATAGTGGGTGTCGGCGTAAGTCTAGAATCTAGAAACTCCAAACCCTAACAATCAAAATCGTTAACCCTGACACTCCAAGCCTCAAACGCTAACCCCACAGTCCGACAGTTCGCCACTATCAGAACCCCACATCCTGACTGCAAACCTCAAACTCCAACCCTGAACCCAAGCCAAAGCCGGAAACCTTGCGCCCGGTGAGGCAAAGGTGCATGCTAGAAAAAAAATCTGCACTCTAACGCAGTGACCCTCAACCCTTCACAGAAAATGATGACCCATCAACCTGAATCCCTAAACCGAGCTAAGCTATAAACCGGGTACCCTAAATCTTGAAACCCTGCCCAGGAACAGCAACAACTCTGCCCCTAAACCCAGACCTTGAAAACCGCAATCCCTGACCCGTGCACCCTCTAAGCCTTAAACTGTGTCTTGATACTGACCACGAGCGCGGAGAAGGTCAAAAGTGACGTCGGTTGCTCTTGCTGAGATGTTCAGCAAGCTCACATGTTTGACAAGTCGCAAGTGCCTCCATCAAATTTCATTTGCGACCCTTCTTTGGAAAAGTAACGTGTGACCTCAGGGAGACGTCAGAACTCACCCGCCGGTTCTGCAGCGAACATCATAGAACACGCTGACACGAGCTTGAGAATGTGTGTGGGTACTGCGCCACTTCTCCTGATTCAAGGCTCCTTGGATGCGATGGCGGCGATTTGACTTTGGCAGCCTTGCCACACTTCTTATGCCGGGCATCCTGCAGCAAGAGTCGTCGAGCAAACCTAGCTAGAATGCAGCCCTGTTGCCGTGCCAGTGGTGTAGTCCTTGCTGAGGCTTGAAACCAGGCTGGTGGCACGTACTACACAGGCAAGCATGTGCTTGCCGCCTCCAGAGTCACCTAGATGTGCCTGCTTATAGGGGCAGTGGGGAGCTTGGCGATTTCGCGCTGGGTTGATCGCAGAATGTTCGCAAAATTCGCAAATTGCGAGGCGGAGATGACTTCGCAGACGGTGCGAGCCAACATCACCAAGGCCAGCTTCCCAAGATTCAGACATCCGGGAAGGCCACAGCTTTGCTCTGCTGTAGGTTCTTAATGGTGCCTGGGCGCTCTCGCCGAGTGCGTGGCCAGGCAGATGTTTTCCAAGTTCTGAGGCTGCTTTAGGGACATGGGTTGAGGGTTGAATCCTTTTTGCTTTTCGCCATGACAGGTGGGAGGATCGAGTCAAAAATGCTCAAAATTCGCGGAGAAGTCGAGGCTGGCTGAGTAGCTTTACTTCTTGGCGTGGACTCTGGAAGTGGCCCCAGCACTCCCTAGAACAGTTTGCTCACGTCACCCCATCCAGATGCGTCAATTCAGCGAGCACGGTGAAGAATAGAATCCTCATTGCTTGCAGGCTCACAGAAACAAAACGGAGAAGACAATGCTGGGAGAAGACCAGCAGCGTGCTCACTAGGGGGTGAAGCTTTATGTCACCTGCGGCTGATTTTGATGTGACGGCCTTGCCCAGGCTAGCCTGGATTTCGCAGCAGGTCCCCAGTAAAGGAAGGTGGTTCCTTCTGGGGCAACCACAGGTTGTGCAGGAGTGGCGGTGCTGGCAGTGTTGGCAGTAGCTCGGGGTTCGTGCCCAAACTCAAGAACCAACAACACGTACACGTCTGACTCACGATGATATCACATTTGATATGAGCTTAGGCAGATCTGCGGAAGCAAGCAGCTACACAATCCAATAGGCAATTCACAGGTCAAAGCCGAGCAACATGCCAACCGGCGGCCAAAGGGTAAGCTGCAACAGCAGGAGAAAGGTGACATAGAAGGAGCAAAGTTGCGAAGCAGATGGAAGCACACTGTCAACAGAAGCCAAGCAACCCAAGCATGGCTGCATAGCTAAGTGCCAGGATGATTCTTTGTTTAGCCAGTGTTGGGACGAGCGATATACAGAGAGCCCCAAAAACACAAGCTTGAGAAAAGCTATAGAAAAGCCATGGAAGAGCTACAGCCAGCATTGTTTGGGAGCACATGGCTTAATTGTCGGAGTTCAGAAATGTGCTGAGGCACAATCACTGAGGTGCGAATGCAGCTCCGGCTCAGTCCCTCAGATTTCCTAGGTAGGGGCGCCGGCCATGACCGAATCCTGGGAGGACTTCTTGACAAAAGTTGAGGTTCCAACTCCTGGGGATGCGGTGATCAAGGCTGCAGCCACATTCTTCAAGGACAAGCTCCAAATTGCCCATCCTGCCCTAGCAGAAGGATATGCTGAGGATCAAATTGCCGGCAGTTTCCAGCTGAGCTACCAGTGCAAGCTTGAATTAAAAGGGCTCTACGAGCTGTGGAGGCTGTGGCTCAGGCACGTAGAGTGGCTCAGGCCACTGGAGCTGCCACAACAGCAGCGGGTATGCCGGCAACCTCTGCTCACAACTCAGTCAAGTTGCTCCTACTAAGACTGCTGATGTGGCCACCTTACTCCAAAAAGCTTGCTTGCAAAAACCTGTCCTTCAGCTTGCAAGCCGAGCAGGCACTGTGGAATAGCATGCAGCAACACTCAGGGGATTGTAAGGCATCTTTGACCGTCTTTTCTACGCTGACCTCTCTGCAAACTAGACATTGCCCATGTGGCTTACCCCGGACATGATTGGGGGCAACAAAGCATAAGCTTGAGAAAAGCTATAGTCTAGAAGGGATGGAAGAGCTACAGCCAGCTTTGTTTTAGCTTTTTATTGTCCTTGTTTGGCTTTGGTCTGGCCTTTGTTTGGACTTTGATGTCTTTTTTCATTTTTTGGTTGCATTGTTTTATGTTTTGTTTGATTTTTTTTTAAATAGTTTTTTTAGCTTTTCCTAGTGGAAAACTATTTCTTCGGCAGCCCAGATGATTTCCGGCCCTGGCCTGGACATGCCTGGACGTGTCTCGAAAAAAGCCGGCGATCGTGTCGGAAAGAAGCAAGCCAGCTTTTTTTTGGTTTTTGATTTTGGCGTCTGCACATGCGATGCTGCAAATGGCTTACTTGCAGTTTTCTCGTGAGTTTCCTTTTGCATTGTTAAATCAATGACCCAGCTTACGGTCTGGGCATTGCCCGTCCTAAAGCCAGTTCGACCCATCTGCCTTCCAAGTTGCTGACGGGCCTGGCAGTACGAAACAAGGGAACAACGATGTATCCAGTCAGACACGAGGGACGGAAAAACGCCGTGACTCCGGACGGCAGTCAGCAGCATGCGAGGGCATGAAATGATGGTGAGCCCTAGGGAAGCACGCATCTACGACTCAAGCCATCGGATCGTGAGTCGCAGCAGCTCTTGATCTTGAATCGGAATCTGGCCATTCACAGGAGCTGATGAGCCCGAACTTTCTAGGTGCCATTGAGGACACGAGAAGGGGAGGCGTGGCTCCTGCAGCGTCTATATGAAAGATTACCCACGCACAACCTGCTCATCCAGCGGAGGTGACGATGCTCTGGCTGAATACTGGGCTGCCATTGTCCACAATCTCACCAAGCTGGGCTTCCTCTACCGGAACTTCACGCAGGCCTGCCCGCGACATACAAGGTAGCACTTGGAAGAAGCATGTGAACATGTTGCAGCAAAGTTTCATACGGTCGCAGCTGGAGGTAGCAGCTGGAGCTTTGCCTGTGCCCCGAGAGCTCCGCAATTCCTTCTTGGTGGACTGCGTGGACTGGGTGGGCAATCCAAGCAAAACCTGCCAAGTCAGCTGACAGGACCTGGCAGCTGGCCGCTTCCGTATCCAGCACCCTGGCACTTCTTGCAGAGGTCTGTTTTACGTCCTTTCTCTGGGCTGTGCTTAGGTTGAACTTTGACAGCTGGACCGGCTATGTGGCCGAACGCCAGAGACTGGCAGAAGCGCTTCGGCCTGCTCAGGCGCATCATATCACTTAAAGCATTTCACCAGCCTGAAGTCTAAAATGAAGATGTAGCACTCTGAGGGGGCCATTATCTACGGCGGTGACTCGCACAATGCTTGGGCAGGCCGTTTATATGTGAGATCTGAACAGCACTTCTGGAAGTCAAAGACTGCAAGTGATCAGGAAAGCTCCGCGCTGAAGATGGTAGTGTCGTGGCAATGGATTTTGACGGCATGGCGGTGACGAGCCCCGGTGTAGAGCAGCTTGTTTTGAAAAGATGGTATAGACAGCCTGGCAGACGAGTTGTATGGTCAGACACAAATCCTAGGTCTGAGCGGCCCTTCCTTCCTCCGAGTCTGGAAGCCACCGCCACAAGCCAAGTGCAAGTGCTTGGAGACATCCAGAAGAGAATGAAGTCATCACAGGCCTGGAGATCCAGCAACCCGGATTTAGCTTGGGCAGCCGTTTCCGGCATGTATTGCCACAGTGGATCCTGCTATTCAGGATATCGTGGCCGCAACTTGCCAGGACACATCGAAGCGAGGATTCATGATGGTGCATCTAGATGCCGACAGCCATCACATTGAGGCCGCGACTTCATCACATGTCAGCCAGAAAAGACGGTTGTGCCTCTGCTGAGCGTTGCTGCAGTACCTCGCAGTGGATGTGGCTTCTGCGAGTGAAGGCGCTGCTTTTTTTTTTTTCTCGCAAGTTTTTTTTGCAGTTGCCGCTGTCAATTTGCTCTTTCGCTCCAGCTCGGGTATGCAGCTCAAATCTTTTTGTGTATTGACTTCCTTGGCAGAAGGGTCCACTACCAACTAGCATTGACGAGACTCGTGCCAGGAGTCGGTAAGGACACGTCCTGCTTGGCAGCTTTCGATGTGGAGCATGGACTGGGCAACAGCGAACTGCGCGTGAGTACCTGCAGGCTCGTTCCGTGCTCTTTGCCGCGATGGGAGGAGCTCATGTTTGCAGGCCTCCGCAGACGCGGAGTGCAACAGAGACTGTTGCCCAAACGGATTCCGCGACAGCTGCGACGACAGCTTAGAGTCGACAGGAAGCTTCATGTGCAATGCGAAGACATCAAAGACATAGCAAGAGCACGATAGCACGCCTAGGACTGTCCCGCTCGTGCTTGCGCTGCTCACCTGCTGCTTGGGATGGTTGATGGGCTGGTGCTTGGGGCGCCGCAGACTGTGGAAATCGGAGAAGGAGAAGGGCATCTTGGAATTTCAATTCAGCTGGAGGTCCCAAGTCTTTGCATCTTTGAAGTATGGGGGGCGAACGTAGTCGAGGTGCACAGCGCTATGCGCAGCACGTTGACGAGGCGCAGCAGGGAGAGCACCTTTTGGATGCCGAGGTAGTTGTCAACTGTGAAGACTGTGTGCTGGCGGCCTTGGCGAGGCCGAGCATGTGCCACCACAACGGATGGGCATCGAGCTGAGATGAACGAGGTGCGGGCTTACGAGGCTGGCAAACTTTTGTGTGTAGGCTGATCACGCAAGACGTGAAAGGTGGAAATGCGAAGAGCTAAGTATCGACATGATCATCTGCTTGGCTGATGGAAGCGGTCACTTGCCAGCATATCAGTAATTAGTGTTCCAATTTGTAGCTGATTACAAATTTGTCTGTAGCAGACAGTCGCAGACGCGTGTTGATATGTGGTTGATGAAGATGGAAGATCGAAGATAGCGACGTCTTGTTCGGGTACCTTTGAAGCCCCTGCTCCTGTGGTTGATGGATTTGTCTGATTCCGACCTAAAAGCATCTCACCAGTCAACATCTTCCAAAACAAAATGGCAAACGTTGCAAGGTTTTTACTGCCTCGCGAGGCCCCAATATATTTGTCCCATGAGTACCGCATGTGCCCCGAACCTGCAGGCAAGCACCCAAAGGTGCGACTTCTGCTGCTTCCTCAAAAGCCTCCCTTGGTCTACATGAATGTTCAACTTTGCTTCCTGTGACAGAGCGTGATTATGTATCCAGCAACCTCAGACCAACTTCCTTTCGTGCGAGCGGTGTGACCCTGTGGCAATGTCTCGATACATGATCATGACTGAGCTCTTCTTCACTGCTTCAGGGTTGTTCAGGTGCCAGCGCCATAGGCAGCCTCTTGTGTATTTTGGTGGAGGAAGAAGTCTGTGCAGCTGCAGATGCTTTGGGTGCCTTCAACTGTTCAGTAGTTTTGCTAAGGACGCTGAACTTCCCAGAGGAAATTATTATTGACGGCTTCCTGGTCATTGAGAGCACCGTCTACTGCACCCTTGCCTGCGCTTGACCTTTGCTCCCCGATTGTGGAGAGATTCTGATCGGCCAAGCGACAAATTTCGCCAAGCCAGAGGACGGTCTTCAGGAGCCTTTTGGAAGGCCCCTGCAACTGCAGACTCCATGCGAGTTTTGCAAGGTCATGATGATGAGAGTCACAAGGTCCGCAGCGTTGAGAGCTTTCGAAAACCACCTGCGTCTTGCTTGGGCTTTGAATAAGGGCAGCCTTAGTTGAGATGCATCATTGGACATGAAAGTCTTAGCTTTTTCACCTGCAGTGCTTTAGCAGAACGTTGGGCTTTGCAACTCAGAAGCTCTGACGAGGCAGGTGCAGATGCCATGGACATTAGACAGGACCAAATGACATCATCAAACATGCATGAAAATGAATGGACATTTTCATTCCAAAGGTATGCTAGACACTAGGAATGGCATACTTGCAAAACAAGATAAGATGAGTACGTTGGGGTGTGGGTCCTGCATGGCACAGCCTGAAATGAGATGATGTGAACGAAATGATGCCCCTCAAGCTATTCCCGCAGGAATCCATGAGCAGGCAAAAGTGGGTACGTTTTCTGGGATGGGTTGGAGCTTCGTTGGAACAGGGCTCCCCACCCTTCCCCCTGGTCCCCCCACAGAAAGAAACAATCAATGCAACATGCAAAGCCGGTAGCAAGTGCGTCGGGAGTGACCCCGTTCCTGTATGTACAAGAGGTTGCACGCAAACACACACACAGCGCCACGCAGGGCCACAGTAATAATGTCACTTTGTCCGTGCTTGCGCAAGAATAACAACTAATGGACCGGACAAGGACAAAAACACGAAAAACGCAACCTTCAAAAGACCCACGCTGAGGAAGAGCAACACCACAACAAGCCGGACCACAACAACCACAAGTACCACCATTAGAGCGCGGAGAACCAACAAATCTATCTTCCTGCTACACCTGCCACAGCCTGTGTTGAGCTGCCTCACAAGAACATGTACGACCGGGAAACCTTCTGGCCTGTCATGGGCTAGCCTCTGCCTCGTGCAAGTCAGCGACCCTGCGTTTGCAATCTGATGAACACTGTGACATGTGTGTTCAGCATCGCATTCCACCATCCTACAATGCCCATGCAGATGGACGCCGGAGCAGGACCAACGTACTCATCTCAC